AGCAATTTTTTTAAATAAAGGTATAATCATTTGTTTTGTGGATGCTTCACATGCTCATTTAACTTATAATCAATAATTTATCTTCAAAAATAAATTAAATTGTTTAATTTTTTTAAAATTTTAAAAAAAGTTGAAAAAATTCAAAATTGTTAAATCCTTAAGGCTTTTCTTTTTTAAACATATTTTCAAAAAATTTCTTTTCCTTTGTGCTTACAATATTTATCTTAACAATTTTGTGCATTCATTTGTTGATATATCAATTAGAATATTTTCATTATTTTGTAAAAAAGTAGGAAAAAAAGGTTTAAAAATTCCTGTTAGGTATATATAACATGCTGTAAAAATTGGAATACCTCATAAAATGCTTATTCCATGCACAGTTTAAATAAATGTATTATACTTAAGATAAAAAAGTTTACTTCAAAGCTTCATCTTAATTAGAAAAAATTCCTAAGGGATTTAATTAAGATTAAAACACAAATTTATCATCTATGAGAAAAAGCACTTTAAAATCTGTCTGCTGAGCAAGTTTCTGTATTAGGGCAATCTAAAATAATTCATAACTTTTTTAAAAATGTAGATAGATGATTTTTTTTCAGTGCATTTGAAATAGTTTGAAGTGTTATTATAAACAATAAAAATGTTTTCGATATTTTGTCATTCTTTGGATACTGTAACCCCTTTGTTCTGTATAGTTTCTATATATCAGCTTTAAATATAAACAAACATGTCTTCTTGAGGCTAGTATGGAAATAGTGGTGGAGCAAGAAGGGACATACTTTAAGAGGATTTTATGATTCATTAGTTAGCAAATTTAGTTTTTTTTTTTTGTCATTTTTTAATCGCAAAGGATATGAGATCGATATAAATGGATTAAAACTTCTTGACAACAATGATTCAATAAGAGTTAAAGTCTTTGTGCTAGTCAAGTTTTTTTATATTTATTTTAAATAAAAAACCGGTGCATTATGTTGGTATAGCGCAAGTTGTTTATAGAATTAGAGATTACGATGTTCCTTTCAAGAGAGAAAGACGGATATAGCTATTTTATATATTTGTATTTTATAACCATCGTTGAACAACCGATCCAATATTTGGGTTTATGATCACTAATGTCAACTTTCAACTAATGATCAACTCTATAGCCTTGTAATTTTGAACCCAATAGAGAAGACAAAGGAACTTCTGGATCAAGCACAGAGTGAAATTTGTCTTCATGGAGGTCTTTTTGATGGAACTAACTTGCTTTACATGAAGAGGAAAACCACAAAAACCTCCCATGATTACACTAACGGCAAGGGGACTCTTGATCCGTCTTCCCTTGAGGATATTTTACGTCAGCACTGGGGTTGGTGCGAGCCGGGTGCGTAATTCACATCGATCAGCCATAACCGGGATTCGAACCCGGTTGACCTCATTGGAAGGCAAACGCTCTATCGCCTGAGCTACCACGGCTCAGATATAGTTATTCTAATCATAAATCTTTCGTTTTCTCAAAAGAAAAAAAAACATTCCTCAATTTACAAAGAAAAAAATAGTTAGCAAACTTCCATAGAAGTACCAGGACTGCATCTCAATACACATTTAAAGTTGACATTTCAAATATTTTCTGGATGAAATTTAAAAAAAATTCTAAATATTTATCAAATGAACTAAATTGAATAATCAGGGACGAGATTAGCCAAAAGGTAAAAAAGCTGAATTTCCATGATAGTAAATTTTACGCAAGCGCAACCCTTTAATAATAAATTCCAGACAGTTTAAGGTAATAAATAATGTGTTGACATCATACATGGCAGTACTTTTACTTTCGTTACTTGTACCGCCGGTACAAGTAAAAAGTACGTACTTTTACTTGTACTTTCGTTACCTTTTTAGGGAAAAAGTAAAAGTATTTGTAACGGAAATATCGAATGAAATCGTTACTTTTTTCTAAAACTCGGTAAGCTTCCTTAAAAAAAATAAATAAATAAAAAAAAAAGCTGTGAATGCAAAAATATGCATTCACAGCTAACTTCGTTTTTCAATACCTTCTGTTTCAACTTATACTGCACATTCAATTATTTTTTACTAGCTCAAAGATCACAAAGCTATCTGAAACCCCGTGTTTGCTTTGTTTATGTTTGTGCTTTTAAAACGCGTTTCTATAGAGTAAAACAATTTTAAATCA